AAGAAAACCTAAAGATTTGTATTTTTCCTAGCCTTTTCGATTTGGATATCGATATGTTGTGAGCATCTGAGTAAACAATCCAAAGAGGATTGACTAAAGTAGAGGCTCAGATCTCGGGGTTGGACTGACCCAAAGCCAAAAGTAGTTCGACCCCAATGGAGGGATGCCGCCACGGTCGAATCTGACGGCTGGGCGAACTGCCTGTGCGGGTAACTCGGCAGCAGAGTTGCCAGATTGGGCGGTTTACCGCCGTTTAGGCGAGGTGGGAAGTCGGGAAGGCGGTATGAGATTGAGGTTTCTGGCCCATCACCCAATTAGGCTATTTTTTTTGCATTATGCAATTTTAGGCGTATTCTCAATTTGATTTTTTTTAATTTTAAACAAATCTCTTATGTCATTTACAAGCGAAATGACATTTTCTTGATCATTAAAAATTCAAATTCGTTCAATAATTCGTCACCAGTTGCCCCTTTTGTCGGTACAGTTTTGGGTGCGTTTGCATGTGTCGGACATCCATTGGGGTCTTTCGGTTTCCACAACTGTCAAGCGTGTTTATACTTGATTTTGATCGATGATCACAACTTAAATACAAAATATATATATGAAAATGGGTAAACATGGGAAATATGAAAAACATTACAACAAATCCTGGGAATTGGCACCTGAGATGGCAGGTGAGGGTAAATCGTTCTTTCAGACGAATAAATATTATGTCTCTAGCGTTAACCTTCCGGTAAGTGTGATCCCAATTGTTCACGTTGATTTTTCTCATTTCCCAGCTTGGATATCAAAGAATCCAGATCCCAATGCATTAGGACAAGAAGCTTATTGTAAGTTTTGCAAAGTAGGCCTAAGAGTACATAAGACAGATTTGCTGGCCCACGCCGTAACCCAGAAACATCGTCGATTCGCTGAATCTCTCAACAATCAAAAGCCAATTTCAACGTTCGCGATTAATGTGATTGGAGATGCTATGAAATTAGCAGAGATAAAACTATCCGTTTTTGTTGCACTTCACAGTGCAGTCAGAACCATCGACCATTTAGGAGAAATTGTTCAGAAGTTGGGAAAAAAGAGTCAACTTGAGTCCATACGTCTTCATCGAACAAAATGTTCTCAACTTTTGAAAAACGTACTATCTCCAACAATATTGAGTTCTCTCGTGGAAGATATTGGTGATAGAAAATACTCTCTTATTATTGATGAATCGACTGATGTATCGGTCCAGAAATATTTGGCTCTATGTATCAGGTACTTCAGTGAGAAAGAGGGAGCTATAACCACCGACTTCTTGGGTATCGTGAGCGTGACAGAAACCACATCAAACTGTTTATATCAACATATTACGTCATACTTAAACAGCATCAATCTTCCTGTGAAAAATTTGATCGCTATTGGAACTGATGGCGCAAGCAATATGGTCGGTGTTAATCACTCAGTATTTACCCTGTTAAGGGATAACATACCGTTACCTAATTTGATCCTCATTCGCTGCATATGTTACTCTTTAAATCTGTGTGCTTCGAAAGCTGCTGACGTTCTCCCTGCTCATTTGGAGTATTTGATACGAGAGTCACGAAATTGGTTTTGTCTGAGTGCAAAACGAATGGAAGAATACCGGGCATTATTCAATCTTATCAATGACAATAACAAGAAAATGTTGGTTCTAATACAACTATGCGACACACGATGACTGGCGTATAATGGAGCAGTGAGACGTATTCTGGATCAATGGTTGGAGTTAAAGACTCATTTTTCTATGATTGCTACTAAAAATCAGGACAAATGTCTAACTGCTAGACACTTGGCTCAAATTTATAACGATCCAGCCAATCACTTATACTTACTTTTCCTGAAATCCATCCTCCAGGGAGTCACTGAAGTAAATCTCCTATTTCAAAGCACGGATCGCGATATTTATGAACTTTTCGATAGTTTATGGACGCTCATTCTCTCAGTGGCTACTCGTTTTATTAAACCTTTATTCATTGAAAAAGCTCAAACTACTCAGTGTGTCACTGTAATTAGTGAAGCACTGAATAATACGCTAGCACTGAAGTCAATCGACGAAGTCGATCTGGGAGTGGATTTTCATCGTGCAGCCATAAATGACGAAGTACCACCAGAGGTTGTCACAGAAGTGTCTCGAAGATTCAGAGAATACCTTCTGACTTTATGTGAGCAGCTTGTGAACCGTATGCCGAACAATTTGAAAATCTTAAAAGACGTTTCAAAGTTTGCATCGGTGAAAGTTTTGTCTCCAGCCACCAAACCATCAATTAACGATATACCACCGGTATTCATCCAGGACAGTGATCTCACAGTAATCGATAATCAGTTGAGAGACATCAATCTGATTCCTTGGAATGACCATTTTTCTAGGGAAATTTTGAATGATACATCCAAATTCTGGTCTCATGCGTATACATTTAAAAATGCCAGTGGTCGACAGATGGTCAAGGAGTTGGCTGGAACAGTTTTAAAAATGCTTTCGCTGCCAGTCACCAATGCAGTGGTCGAGAGAGTTTTCTCAGTGACGAATTGCGTCAAAACCAAGTGTAGGAATAAAATGCAGATCGATATGTTGACTGCGATTCAGAGGATTCGTATTCATTGTTACGTAAAAAAACTCTGTTGTACTTCCTTTGAGCCTACTCAACAGATGTTCGAATTATTTACCGCTAAAATGTACGAGATTCCCTAAAGCGATGCCCCTGGATCTTCGCAAAATGCTGATGAGATTGACGTATTGGAAGAGACCCTGACACTCTTCAGTACTGACGAAGCTGAGAGCTGTACGCTCTAAATTCTAATTCTCTTAGAATTCTTTAATGCCTAAAGGAGGTTAGGCGGTGTATGAGATGAATTTGAGAGTGAATTTCTGTGGTTCCCGGTAGCTTAGTCGGTAAGAGTGCCCGGCGCGTATCTGGGAGACCCGGGTTCGATTCCCGGCTGGGTGAAGCGGAAATTTTTTCTCTCTAAATTCTAATTCTCTTAGAATTTTTTTTTTTCCCATCTGCCGAGTTGTGAACAGCAGAACTTTTATTTTATTGCGTATAATACTCTTATCCAAAGATTAATAGCTATAATATTTGTTTATGATAATATGTTATAATTTATAGCACTAAAGTGATATTGGTTTCTATTTTTCATTTTAAAAAACGAGAATAATAATCAATACACCTCAATTCATTTTTATTCCGCTTTTTCCCCTTATAGGCGCAATGATCATTTTTACTTTCAAACCGGAAAATAGTAGAGACTCATTTTAATATTTTTGAATATTCAAAATGTGGCTGTATTTCAAGCGATTTGCGCTTTCCCTAGGCGGGTTTAGGCTACTTGGGTTGGTAACGACGGGCGGCGGTTTTAGGCTAGGTCTAGTGGGGAGAGAGGCTCTCTACCGTTCGCCGTATCTGGCAACTCTGCTCGGCAGTAGCAGTCCCGCCAGCGTTGCCAACTATACCATTATCATGGTATCTATACCATGAAACTGGCTCCGATACCATGTACCATGATGCCCGTCATGGTATCATGGTATACCATTTTTCAAGCGAGGAACGAAGGGAATGTCCTAAAAATTCATTATCTTCGGATAACTTTATTAAATATTTTAATGCTTTTCTTTCCTGAAAATTGCATTGATTATATGGCTTCTATCAGCAGCTGGATCTCCTGGATATTGTTCATTCGCAATTAATGAAAAAAATATATATTGTAGTGATGAAATTTTTTCAATGAATCTCCAATGACAATAAAAAAAGTTAGTTTTAACTTATCGCCTGTCATTATTGGAGCCGTTTGACACTCAAACCCTGTTGGTAGAGGTGATAATCGGTCTTCGTTTGAATTATTGGTACATCGAATTTCATGAAAAATTTGAGGTTTAAGAATGGTAAAGCGGACACTATTCAGGGACACCAAGAGTGCCAGTGACTCTCGGAAGGACCATCAGTCAATAAAATGCAATTTGTCCGATGGAATGTCCGACGAATCATGTACAGCGAGACAAAAATTGCACCAATCATAAAATTCGTTACAACACAGGGAGCCCCCTACTTCGCCTATCTCGTTTTCTTTCCACAACAGCTGATATTCACTAGCGGTGTGACCTCCATAACTCGCCACAAGAATTGCTTGATAGGTGCCGGCGCTCCCTTTTGAAATTCCTCCACGAGAAGCACAACTATTTGTAAAATAGTTTGCGTATTTTGATTATAATCTTGCTGTAAATACCACAGGTAAATATCGATGAATGACATTGAGCTGCACTTACGGTTTAAAGATAAGGTTAGAATTTCCAGCAGTACTGACCAAAAAACTTATTTCAGGTAATATGGAAGAGGAACATAATCCATGTCGAACACCACCGAAAAAGAAATCGAGAGTCGAACAAGGGAGTAAACCTAAAGTCGCCCAGAAGTTTCGAGATGATTGGCTGCAGATGAATGAGTTCAAATCTTGGCTACAGCGTGTTCCTGCTAATCCTCTCAAAGCCAGATGTAAATTGTGTTCTCAGGAATACACTGCTGATATATCTGTATTGAAGACACATGCCAAAACAGGTAAACACAAACAGAGGGAAAGACCACTGAAGAACACAAGCATAAAAATGACTCAGTTTCTTCAACGTGAAGACGGCACTGGAGACCCCTTAGACACTGCAGAAATAAAAATTGCTGCATTCTGTGCCGATCACAAAATGGCCTACAATGCATTGAATCACGTGTCAGACGTACTAAAAGAATGTTTCCCTGATTCCCGAATTGCTCAAAAAATGGCTGTGAAACGAACCAAGAGAACGGCAATTGTCAAAAATGTCATTGGTGAGACGGAAAGGCGCGTACTTGCGGAGAAGCTGAAGAAGACTAAATTCAGCATTTTGACAGACGAATCCACAGACGTTTTNATACACTGCTGATATATCTGTATTGAAGACACATGCCAAAACAGGTAAACACAAACAGAGGGAAAGACCACTGAAGAACACAAGCATAAAAATGACTCAGTTTCTTCAACGTGAAGACGGCACTGGAGACCCCTTAGACACTGCAGAAATAAAAATTGCTGCATTCTGTGCCGATCACAAAATGGCCTACAATGCATTGAATCACGTGTCAGACGTACTAAAAGAATGTTTCCCTGATTCCCGAATTGCTCAAAAAATGGCTGTGAAACGAACCAAGAGAACGGCAATTGTCAAAAATGTCATTGGTGAGACGGAAAGGCGCGTACTTGCGGAGAAGCTGAAGAAGACTAAATTCAGCATTTTGACAGACGAATCCACAGACGTTTTGGCTACTAAAACAAGTTGTTTGCTTGTGAGATATTTTGATGAAGGAGAAGGCAAGGTTGTATCGAAATTTTGGGACTTGATACAGGTTTTGGAACCTGGGAAGGTAACAAGTGCAACAGCAGAACACTTGTACAACAACATCATCAAAAGCTTCACAGAGCGAGGGGTTCCAATGGAAAATGTCGTAGGCTTTGGATCTGATGGTTGCAGGGTTATGATGGGTGTGCAGAACTCCGTTGCTAGTCGTTTGAAGCGAGATTATCCACACATTACGATCCTAAAGTGCATTTGCCCCTCACTGCATATTTGTGCAAGCGAAGCTTGTAAACAATTACCACGTAGTTGTGAAGGCGTAGCTCGCAATATCTATAATTTTTTCAATAGCAATTGTAAGAGGCAAAGTGAGTACGTGGAATTCCAGATGTTTACGAACGTTGAAATCCACAAACTCTTGCATCCATCCCAAACACGTTGGTTGTCGTTAGCATTAGTGGTAGACAGAATTCTCGAACAATGGCCTGCTCTGCTATTGTTTTTCAATGATCAGTGGTTAGCACTCAAGTTGAAGGCGGCAGAGTCCGTTCACGAAAGTTTGAATGATCCGTTCAATAAACTGTTCTTGTTCTTCCTGCAGTGGGTTCTCCCCAAATTCACTGAAGTCAACAGATCTGTACAAGACCCTCCTTTATAGTTTCATGAAGAGAAACTACGTGAATTCTCGTTCATTATCAGGGGTGGACCCTGAGGATAAATCCCATTCCAATTGAAGAGATTGTGACGGCACTAACCCATGGGAACCTCAAAACTTAAAATATAAATCGTAGACTTATCCATAACTCGATGCGAAACTCAAAACAGCCGGAGTGTTGTCACCTTCGGCCTCTGCTCCTCGATGTCCCCACGAAAATCCTCGAAAACCGAATAAACGAAATAAACGGGAAAACGAGAAAAATGTCGGGCGCCAGCTGACTTTTGTTCCAGCGGTGTCAACGAACCGCATTAAAAAGAACCATACGAAAACTTAGCCATAATTGGGGAGATCAAGGGAGAGGTTGCGGAATTAGCTCGACTAGCTCGGTGGTATTCGGAGAGCGGGGTAGGATCGGTCGCTCGGTCTTAGGAAGGATGTCGCGAATTTACCAAAAGATACAGAAAAATCAAAAGGAAGAATCAGAAAGTTAATTAAATAGGGGATGAGAGAATTACTTTTAAATTTACTCCGCGATTTATTCAATTTCTCAATAATACTTCAACTCCAATAGAATTTCTATTCTTCATAAATAAATTAAATTAATTTCAATTAAATTTAACAAAATTAAATTCGATTAAATTCCCGAGAGTGAGAGTACGTGAATTGACCGTGAGAGAGAAGTTATTGCGACGGGAATGGAGGGTCCGAAGAGTCCAGGCCAACGATCTCTCCGCATCATCCAGAAACTGGAGTGCTGGAGGATCCGAAGGCTATGTCAATTCCGATGCAATGATCTCGGCGAATCTCCTCAGAATAATAAATGACGATTAATGGGCGAGGGACTCAAGTGTGCAAATATCAGTTAAGAGTACCATTTTGCCCCATATTCGAGTCCGTCCTCCATCAAGAGCGTCGTAGCATCACAGGGAAATTCCTGGGGCTCACGCGCTTCAATGTCATGATTTTCGGGG